ATGGTTTCTTCAGGAGGGGTCTCACCACCGCCGCTTTAAGTGCGGCGGGGAAGTGCGGCGGGGAAGTGCCCCGAAGGGAGGCGGTAACAACCGGCTGGATCCAGCCTCGGGTCACCTCACGGCTGTTAGCAACCAGCCATGAGGGACACGGGTCCAGTACACAGGTGGAGGCACTCACAGCTCTCATGGCCTTGTCCACATCCCCAGGGGCAACATCCTGAAACTCAACCCAGAGGTGGTCAACCAATTCATCCTCTTGTGCCTCGGCTGGAACTGCAGGGATGGAGTCCAAATCCGACCGAAACCGAGGTAGAGAAATAAGAACAGGAGAAAGTCTTGTGACTTATTAGTACAAGATTTTGCTGTTAACATTGCTCACATTCTCTGTAATCATAATTATTCAATCAGAAGTGTGTGCCTGAGGCATCACCAGCAATATTATCTAGGACTCCTTTTGATCTGTGAACTCTGATGAAGTGAACAGGGTGCTCATACCCTAAGTTTGGATTCAGTTATGGGATGAAAATGCATTTTATTCTGGTGGATGACCTTCAACACTTTGAGGGAATGCATCCATTCTGGTATTTTTATATCTCTCAGGGGTGTTTAATACTATTAGCTAGGTTATCCTGCTAGACTGTCTAGAGGACTGGGAGTTAAATGTGCTGCCTTTTATTTTCTGAGGGAGCAGGTCCAATCTGTGATGGATGGGGAATAGAAATCAAGCCATCCGGTAGTCACTGGTGAATATCCTTCCTCTCCTGCTGTTCATTATATACAGGAGACTATGAGGAGAGGTCATTGATTCATTGGGAGTGAGATACTATCAATATGCAGATGATACCGAACTTACCATCTGTCTACATCTTAGTAGGATAATTGTAACTTTAAATTCAGGGTTTTAGTTCATGGATGAGAGCTACCAGGTGACTTCTTGAAGATTAAGCCAACGCTGTATCTGCTATATGCCCCAACTTATCAATTCTACACAACAAATAATACATCTCTGCAGAGGTTATATACAGTTTTTCTTCACTTCTTTCAATCGAGAACACAATCACAGTTCCCCTATCACTTTGCTTACAAAATACAGAGTATGTCCTGAAATTGGTGGAATTTGGTGGGAATCTGAAATGGAAAGCAGAATATGTTCACTACAATTTTTCCCAAACTCTAGTAAAATTAGAGTACCTATCTGTATATTGGATTTACAGAACACTCCATATATTGCGTGAGTACATTTTTACAGAGATTTTTGGAAGCATAACAATTTTTAAAAAGTATAATAACCACACTTACAAGGTGAAGTATAAGCATGGTGCACTATATATATCTATATCTATATATCTATATCTATATATCTATATCTATATATCTATATCTATATCTATATCTATATCTATATCTATATCTATATCTATATCTATATCTATATCTATATCTATATATAAACCAGGAATTTGTCTGATTA